CAGTGATAGGTCGCATCACTGGTGGGGATGAAGCAGCCTACAGGAGGGAGGTGGCCGGTCTGGTGTCATGGTGCAAGGACAATAATCTCAGCCTCAACATGGACAAGACAAAGGAGATGATAGTGGACATGAGGAAGGGGAGAAGAACTCATCAGCCATTGTTCATCTGGAGGCTCAAAGTGGGGCTCATGAGCAGCTTCAAATACCTGGGCGTCCACATTAGGACCTTATCTGGACACTTGACACCACACAGCTGGTCAAGAAGGCCCAACAGCGGCTGTACTTCCTGAGGAGGCTGAGGAGGTTTGGCATGTCGCCAAGGATTCTCAGCAACATCAACAGCTGCATCGTTGAGACCATCTTGACCAGCTGCATCACTGTCTGGTATGGCAGCACTACTGCTATGGACCACATGCACCTGCAGAGAGTGGTAAAGACTGTGGAGAAGATCACCAGGACTCCACTGCCCTCTCTGCAGAGCATTTTCCACTACAGGGTGCGTAGGAAAGCTGCCTCCATCCTCAAGGACCCCACCCACCCCCAGCACAGACTGTTCATACCCCTCCCCTCCGGTTGGAGGCTCAGAAGTGTGAAATGCAGGACCACTAGACTGAAAAACTCTTTCTTTCCCTCTGCCATCAGACTCCTAAACAGCTGACTCAGGATCTACCTCATGTAATTCCATCTGTACTGTTTACATACTCATTTTGTACATGCATAGTTGTATACTCACTGCTGAGTATTTACACTCCACGGCTCCCACGTAGCATATATTCTCTCTACATTATATTGTGTTCTTGTTGTATTTTTATTTGCTCCCTTCACTTGCTGCTTTAAAGTGCCTTAGATTTGTGATTTTACTGCCTATTTAGATTTGTGTTATTGCTCATCTACTTTATATTTCACTTGTACTGTGTGGCATTCATGTGGATGGCAAAGTGAGAATTTTGTTGTACAGGGAAACACGTTTCCTAACTGTGCATATGACAAACACTTTGACCTTGACCTATTTATGATGGATTTGTTTTTGGATTTCTCATGCTGTCAGTTTTACCAGCAACTGGACTTTTTAATGTGGACCAGTGAATTAATATCAGTTGTGTTTTTCAAATGACTTTTCCCATGTAAGATGCAAGGATAGCATATGAGAAAAACATGAAGAGAGAGGACTCAAGGAAACATTATTAATGACATGAGACATCCTTTCTTCGAGAGTGGTAAAATAAATCCTGGTGATCCGCATCAGTTTCCTCCAGGAATGTAATGAATTGACGGTGCTGAAGTCCCCTTGGTCGTATAAAGTCTTACGACTGGATTCATGACAGACTTACACAGAGATTCCTAATGAATGATGCAGTAAAGGAAAATAACATCCTGGTCAGAGTTTTCCTCTTTCACTTTATTCTGGATTCTTTTCAGCAGCCTGACGTTTTTGACAATCCATCCGTGGTGACATTGGCAAGTTTACTCTAAGGTACTGTAGCTTCATTCTCTCAATGACAGCAGACACCTGGTCATATAAATCTTCTTCTCACATATTTCCTTTCAGGGACTCCATGGCCAAAAACTCCTCTGTTATCTCAAAACTATCGTTAATCCCTCCAATAAAAATTAGGAGCTGAGTAGTGTCTTTTATGTTGTTACTTTCATCCAGTGCTAGTGAATAAAACTTAAAGGACTCCACCCTTTAGTTTAACTTGCTGGATCAGAAGCTGGTCAGAGTTGATGGAAAGATGGATGGAGCGAAATACAGGCCAATCCTGGAAGAAAACCTGTTAGAAGCTGCAAAAGACTTGTCAGGTCCGCTCTGCGCGGCCTGCCTATTTTCCTCCTTTCTCTCTCTTGACCTGCGGGATCGGCACCTCAGCTGTGTTGCATTCAGTAATGAGTGACTTGTTTGTCGGTGCGCACAGCTGAGGTGCATTCCTGTGATTACCTGCTCCTTTATTTAAACCTCTGGCAGACGCCCTGTCTTCGCCAGAACATTACCTGTAGATATACCTGTGCTCAACGAAGCAATAACAGATTGTTAGAAATAAAGCATTTATTTGTGGTGTATATTCCGAATTCTGAAGTGTTAAACCGTAGTGCTCAGATTCACACAGGTAAGAAAGGGATTTTTATGTCGTCCCTATTTTCATATTTTATGATCCTTAACAGAACACAAGGGTTAATAATTTTCCATCCATTTTGACT